ATGCGCAGGGCCCCGCCTCTGCCGTGCTTAGTTGATTCTTGGCGGCGAGGGGTCTGGAGTGCTCAGCGCCCGCCATTGGTCCCGCAGCAATGAGCACGGCGATGTGCACGGTCGGTTGGTGCCTCACTCTGCGCGGCCATTGCATCTGGGGTGAGCTGTTTGAGCGTGCGGATGATGTCCTTGCGAACTGCGCTTTTTGCTTCTGCGATGTCCGCTGCCGCGTCTGCAGGTGCAGCGCCTGCTGCTTCGGACATCATTCTCACAACGGGCGGCTCGCACCCACGCAGGTGGAGCGGGTGCCGCGAGGTGCTGCGCAGCGTCCAGAACGGCGGTCTCAACGTCTGATATACATTTGGGACCCCAAACGCTTTTCGAAGCATAAAAGAGCTTGCCGACGATGCGTGCGTGGTACTGTATAAGATCAAGTCCGATCGTACGGTACTGTCAGCGTTGCTCTTGAACCCACTCTCAGTGAACAAGACGTAGGTGTTATGGGTGGACGGATTGAGATGGTTGGATGCAAAGCGCAGGTCGACAAAGCTGTGAGATATTGTACACCACAGTGCACCCCTGCCTGGGTTGACACTGGTGTGCACAATTATCTCCTCGCCACCATGCTGCCAGGCTGACCTGGCATACGATTCCCACCACAGCCATCGTCAGTACAGCGAGAGCCCCGACACAGGAGGCACTGTGGCGGCCACAACTGGCATCATTGTGAGGGTGGGGCAGAGGCTGGCAGCCAGAACCTGCGATGAGCCCCTGCCGGCCCCGCGCGCCCCGCTGCGGGCGCCGACTATCAACCCCTCCTCGCCGTATAAGCTCTCCCAAGAAGCCAAGTTACAGCGACAATAGCGTCGAAGCGCCACCCCAGGTCGAGGGTTTTGTCGAGAAGGGCAGGGAGAGAGGCGTTGCGGCCCAGCGAGGCCGCACGCAAAGAACAGCACCAAACCCAAACGGCACGCACGACAGGGCAGAACGCAAGCAACCAAGGTGGCAGCGCCGGCAGCATTACAGAAAAGACCGCTGGCTGGAAGGCAAAAGAACCTGCCTCACCAACGCCGGGCATGCCGGAATAATCGACGTTAACGCGTACACCACACACACACACACACACACACACACACCCCTCACACACACACATGTGAAACTCACACATGCACACGCACACAAACGTTCACGCTTATCCTTGAAAAACCAGTGATACCAGTCGAGCAAAAGCCGACCACCGATTGGCGAACCTTGAATGCCACGCCTGCCAGCACGGGCACGCACATGCAACCACCATATGTGGCAGCCCCTACCGCTCACAGCGCATGCGCAGCGCGGTGCATAGCATATGGGCGTGGCAGCGGCCCAGGTCCAGGCAATAGGCCGGCCCGCTCACCGCACGCGCAGCACGCTTGGTCATGCCACCCGGCAGCTGCGGCGGTGGCGCAGCGCCAGACCCGGCGGGGGCAGCAGCAGGGCGCCCGGCGCGCACAAAAAAATCAACCTTTCACATGAGAAGGCGGCGGCGAACCCGGCTGGAGCGGCTGCATGTGCGCAAGTGCTGGTGGCGACCTTGAGCAGCAGCGACACGTGCACATAAACGCAGCCATTCTCGGAACCAGTGAAGCACGGCCTCTCCCCCCCTGGACCACTGGGAATCTCCTAGGGCACCAAAACAAGCGGCGCGCCATTGAAAAGCAGGGCAAGGACTTGCTTGGCGAAGGGTCTGAGAAAATTGTTGTTAGCTGGAGGAATCAAGCAGTCCGCAGGCTGGGGCGCCCGCCAACGCACAGATGGTACCCCAGGCGACGGCAGGACACCGTGCCGCCGTGGCCCGCGTGGGCTGGGGTTTCGCGCGTGCCGCGGGCGTGCGGCAGGGCAAGCCCGGCGGGCACGGGCACGGCCGGGGCTAAGCCCCGGAGCGCGCGGCGGCTGAGAGGTGCGCCCCCGCCGCCGTGCGCTAGTGCGCTCCGGGGCCGGGGCGCGTGGCAGTGCTGAGGCAAAGCGAGTCGTTTGATGGTAAAATTTGTGGGCGCGCGCGGCCGCGCGCGCAGCAGCGCCGCTGTCAGGCAGGCGGGCGCTCTGCGCCCTTGTCCCCTTTGCCCCGCGTTGCGCCGCGCGCGCGTCTGCGTTTCGTGCGGAGGCAGCATTTTGTTCATGATAGCAGGCCGCTCCGCAAGCTCGGGCCGCGGGCCGGGCTACGTTTGCCCGGATGCTGGCAGCGGCCGGCGCGCAGCGTCTGCCGCTGCACCAGGCGCGCCGCGCTCCTCCGCGGCGGCTGGCGGACCCTGCCCCGGCTGCGGCTGCTCGCGCGCCACACCACCGCCTGGGCGCGCGCCAGGTACGGCCGGGAGCGGTGGTGCAGGTGCGCCCTGCGCCATGATCGACAGCACGTCGACAGGCGCGCCTGGAGCCGCGGCGACGTGCGGACTGGGATTGCTACCGCTGCTGTGGCTCTGCTCCAGCGAGGGCGTGCCACCGCGCCGCCGCTTGTGGAGACCGCCGGCGCCCGCAGTCGCGGCCGCAGCCATCGCAGCCGCCACGCTGCCAAGGGGTGCCGACCCAACCAGCAGGGCCGGCACAGCGCCGCCAACTAACACTGGCCCCGCCGCGCCGGCCGCTCCCCGCGCTCCGCCATCGCCAGCCCCGCCCCCGCTGCCTGGAGGGACGTGGACAGCAGCCACGGCTTTGGCAGCTGCAGCGGCAGCGGCCAGCGCGGCAGATGCCGCCGCGGCAGCTTCCAGCATCTCAATCTCGTGATCGCTGCCCTGCCCGTCCGCCTCCCGCTCGGCATCTGTCATATCATGATCAGCGCCCTCCGCATCCGCTGCAGCCGCCGCAGGGGCATCGCCCGCCACTGCACAAGGCGAGAAGTGGGCAGCACAGCGCATATTTAGGCAAAGGGTTGCTTGTGGCCAGGGCCACCTGTATGACATCATGCACCGTCACGTCTTGCCCCGAGCTTCGCTGCACCGAACCACCCCTCCGCCGGCCCCAGTGCCGAGGCGCACCTGCGGGCCGGTCCGCCTTGGCGAAGCGCCCCTTGATCCGCTGCCGCTGGTGCGCGCACGTCTGCCGGTGCTCGTAGCGGACCTAAGTTGCGGCACGGGGAAGGTTAAAAGGCGCTCAGCATGGCTAGCACGGCTTGCTTACAAGGCAAGGCCGGGCACGTGTGCATGAAACAGCATCAATGGGGTCGGCACGAGCCATCAAAAGAGGGACTCAAGGTGGGTGCTTTCGGAGTTCGCACCAACAGGGCGCACACTGCCTGGGGGCTGCCGCCACGTGCTCCGAGTGGCGGCCCCGGCGTGCCGGGCGCCCCGCGCGCAGCACACCTGGTTATCAAAGTGGCGGGTCTTGCGCTTCCGCCGGTAGCGTGTGAGCGCCTCCTCCCTGTCGTGGCTGCTGTCTGGCCCCCCGCTGGGGCCGCCGTTGCTGAACCCGCCGCTGCTGCGCGGCGGCGCGTGGGCGCGCACATGGTGCTGCTGCTGGTGCTGGTGCTGCTGCTGTTGCTGGTTGGGGTGGGGCTGCTGCGGCAGCTGGTGCTGCGAGGGGTAAGGATGCTGCTGCTGCTGCTGCTGCTGCTGCTGCTGCTGATGCCGCTGCTGCGCGGCGGCGGCGGCCGGGCCAAGGAACAGGAGCGACGGCGGCGCGACACCGCACGCGGCGGCCACCGCAGCGGCAGCGGCAGCGCCCGCAGCGACGGCGGCGGGGTGGTGCCCCAACGGCATGCCGGGCGCACCGCCTGTCTCCGCCGTCGTGCTGCTGTGCCCCGGCTGCTGGTGAGGCATCGGCGGCAGCTGCAGCCCCAACGGCCCCATGCCCTGCGGCAGCGGCCCTCGTGGCCATGGGAACGCCATGCCTGGTGGCGGGAACCCCACGCCCCCCGGCACGAATGGGCCACCGAGGCCGGCAAGGCCTGGCAGCATGTGGTGGTGGGGGTGCTGCTGCTGCTGCTGCTGCTGCTGCTGCTGCTGCTGCTGCTGCTGCTGTTGCTGCTGCTGCGGGGGCGCCCCTGCGCTGGCTGTGGCGCCGCTCGTCGCAGGCCGCGCTGCACCCTGATGTGGGTGCGGTCGGGGCGGCAGCGCCTGCTGCGGCGCCGGCTGCTGCTGCTGCTGCTGCTGCTGTGCTGCGGCGCCTTGTGCCCCGCTGTTCTGCTGCTGCCAGTGCGTCGCAATCGCGACCATCAGGATGCCCTGCAGTGGCATGGGCAGCCCCAGCAGCACCTGCTGCATAATCACTGGAGGGAGGCTCGCCAGCGCGCCCGCGGTGATCTCCAAGTGGCCGGCCTGCAGCGCCTGGATGACCGCCAGCTGCATAAACGCCGGCGGCGGCGGCATGCCCCCGCCGGGTCCGTTGCCAAACGCGGCGCCAAACAACACCTGCGCGCCAGGCGGCGGCGCGAACGGCGGCTGTAGCTGCGGCGGGGGCAGCGGTGGCGCGGCGGCCGGCGCCGACGCGGAGAGCGAGGCGGGCACCGGCAGCACCGGCGCAGGGGGTGGCGGGGCCGCCCCCGCGCCGCCCATGGCAATCGAGGGCGGGGGGCCCATAGCGCGCGCCGCGGCTCCTGTGCCTGCCGACAGCCGGCGTCCGCCAACGCCAGCGACAGGCGGGGGCATGGATCCTTCCTGACTGCTGGTGCGGCTGGCCTGCCGGTGCAGGTTGCCCTGAGGATGTGGGGCGGGCTGTGGCGGCTGCTGTTGCTGCTGCTGCTGCTGCTGCTGCTGCTGGGCTGCCTGCGTGCGTGGCGTGGGTGCGGCAGCACCTGCTGGCGGCATGCCGCTGCTGTCGGCGGATGCAGCCGGCATGGCTGGGTAGCCAGCTGCTGCTGCTGCTGCTGCTGCCGTTGCTGCTGCTACTGCCGGCTGCGGGGGACCCGGTCCGTGGAACCCGCCAAGCATCAACTGCACGTGAGGGAGCAGCCCAGGTGGAGGCGCTGTGCGAGGCGCTGCGCCGCCTGACAGCACCGCGACCGCTGCAGCGGCTGCTGCCGCGTCTTGTTGCTGCTGCTGCTGCTGCTGCTGCTGCTGCTGCTGCAGGCTTGCCGCGTGCATTAGGGGGTTGAAGCCTGCCCCGCCAAACTCTGGGGGAACCCCAAATGGTGGCGGCGGGCCAAAGGGGTGCTGCCACGGCAGCCACGCGGGTCTGGGCCCAAATATACCCCCTGGCAGGGCCGCACCCATGGAGGCAGGGCCAGGCGGCCCCATCGTGCCCGCCTGCATGAATGCGGAAGGCCAGAACGGCTGCGGCGGGGGGCCGCCTTGGGCCGTGGCTGCATTGCCAGGGGCTGCTGCTGTGGCCGGCTGCTGGCCAAGCTGATGGTGGCCCTCTTGCAGCGGAGGCTGCTCCCAAAATACTTGTGGGCGCATCTCTGGCGGTGGCTGCTGCTGCTGCTGCTGTTGTGGGAGTGGCGGTTGCTGTTGCTGCTGCTGCCGCTGCTGCTGCAGCGGCTGCTGCTGCTGCAGTTGCGGCCGCTGCGGTTGTGGCGGCAGCTGTTGACTGTGCCGTTGTGGGTGACCAGTGACAGCAGGCTCAATCGGCGATGCGAGCGTGCTGTCATGCGCCTGCTTCCCACAGCTGCTTGCCCTCACAAGCTGCGCATGTGCCTCTGCAGCAGCCGTCGCTGCGGGTGCCGCGGCGATAGCTGCAGTGTGCGTGGTTTTATGCAAAGGCCCCTGACCTGCGGATTCCAGGCCCGAGAGCGCGCCTGCAGCCCCACTGCAGTCGCGAAGCACACGCTCCTGGAGCCCCTGCGGCCCCCCAGTCCGCCCGCCGTTGCCTTCACTGGCCGGTATGCACGCAGCGCCATCGCCGTCGCCCTCCCCAGCGCCGCCGCTAGCCCACTCAGGCGCCGAGCTGCTGGGCGCCACACACATGTGCCCAGGCCCCAGCTGCTGCATCGATCCCGCATGCTGCTGTCGTCGCGGTTGCTGCTGCTGCTGCTGCTGCTGCTGCTGATGCTGCTGCTGCTGCTGCTGTGGCAGCGACGAATTTTGCGCTTCCGCAGTACCCAGTGCTAGAGGCCTCAACAGCGCGGGCGCCCCCTCCATATTTGCCACTGCCGCAGCTGCAGCAGCAGTTGAATCAGGAAGCAGCTGCCTTGTGGGCCTGCCCTGGCTGGCCTGCTGCTGCGTCTGCGGCTGATGTGCCTGCTGCTGCTGCTGCTGCTGCTGCTGCTGTGCCCGCTGCTGCTGCGCCGACAGCGGCAGCTGGCGTGCGCCTGGTTCAGGGCTGGGAGCGCCATTGGCAGCACCGACCACCACCCTGCCACCACTGCCGGCATCCAGCCCCTGTGCCTGCCACCAAAGGCGTAGGTGAGTGATTTCATCAGTGGCTCGCATCAACAGCCAAGCCTCAGTGGCTCAGTCTTCGCCTGCTCGCAACAAATTGCACGGACACCACGAATTCACACCTGCCCCCTCCAGACCGAAGCACAGCTCTCCCATCCTCAAGCTAGCGCACCTGCAACCACTGCGGCTGGTCTGTAGCTGCGCCCGCTGACGGGTCCCACAGCAGGTCGTCAAAGCTGCCAAGGGGTGCGCCGCCGACCAATGGGTCCGCCTCTGCGCCCCAGTTGGCAAACAGCGTATCGAAGATGTCGGCATCCGCGCGGCTGCTGCCCGCCGCAAAAGCTTCTTTGCCCGGTGTCCTGCTGCGCCCCAGCGCGCCTGGGGGCGTTTTGAGAGGGAAGGCAGGGGGGGTGTATACTGATCGCATTCTTTTCCCTTCACAGGACAGCCATGCACAATACGGCAGCACCCGCAGTTCACCATGCCAGCGGGTCACCCTTGTCGGCCCGCATGCGCACACTACAAAGCCCCACCTGCCATCAAGAGCCTGCCGCCAGCAGCACCTTGGGCCGTGGCGCCCTCAGTCGTCGCGGCGGCGTCGCTTGGGGGTGAGGGCGGCTTGCGGGCTTCGCTTCTGTCTGGCGCCACCTTGACTTCCCCACCGACTGGCTTGTCCCCCGCTGCGTTCTCTGCCTCGTAGCACCTTGTCTCCGCCGTCTCGCGCCGGTGCAACTGCTCGCGGTGTTGCACATGCGCGTGCTGACGCGCTGCAACGGCTTGCCGCTTAGACCGGGACCCTGGCGACGCCACCACCTCGTCCTGCTCCGGGTACCGAGGGCCTCCATCCTCGCCATGCGTCGGACCCCCAGCACGTGGCCTCTGAGGCGCCTGGGAAGCATGGACAGGAGATCATTTGACAAGTCTTGCCAGCCGCAGGGGCCCGCAAACCGAAAATAACAAACGGCAATCAAAAGCCTATGGATGCGTGCAGCCCACCGAGCCGGCCGCGGAGCAGGCCCTTGTGCACACCAAGCCGACCAAAGCTGCCCCCACTCGCCTGAACCCGTGCGCGCTCGTGCTTCAGAAGAATCTTGTTTGCCGTGTGAACCTGCCTATCGCAGGCCTCACACAGGCTCGCCGGGCACCGACTGCAGTGCCAGAGCGCCCCCTCCTCGCTGATGGCGCCGCATAGCTCGCAACATGGACTCTCAGCGACATCTTCCATGGGCTGCCAGACCCGCCTCCGTCTGGGAGTGCGGAGTGTCAGTGTCGTGCCGAGTAGCAGTCCTTACGCCTCATCGTATCAGGTTGTTTGCCATTGATCGTGTATATTAGAGACACTTTGCTTTGATTAGCATGGCCCCAGCCCGTGGCGGCAGTGAAGCCCTGTGCCTGAGTGCCAGAATCCCGCCTGCGCAAATATCCAAGACGTGGAGGCACACGCGGTCGCGCGCACCCAGCCCCGGCGCCACCCCAGCCAGGTCAGGCCTACTCAGACCCTGCAGGTCATCGCGCACATAAAGATTCAAGGTCCGTGGCAAATCCTGCCGTCGCTTCACAGACCGGTGCCCCACTGCTGTCACAGCCACTCATGCGAAGCTGCTCATGTAGGATATGGACAGCTGTCTGGTTGCGCGTGAGTACAGGCGCAGGCAGCTGATGCTCACACCACATCTGTTGCCAACCGCAGCCCCACCAGTAGCACCAGCAGCCGTACGGCGGTGGGAGATGAGGCACAGCCGCCGCTGGGCGGGGCAAACCCCCGCTTGATTGGTTGCTGGGCACGGAGCAAACCTGCAGACCTCTGTACACTGGCCACCCTGGCCCTCAGCCGCAACTCTAGCCACCCCTTGAGAGCAAGCTAATGTGCATTTCACAGCCGACAGGTTCTGCAGCGAGCTCAACCCGGTCGCGTCAGCAACATTGGGACCCTCTCAGGCAGAGGGTCATTGCCACACTAGGCTGCCTTGCACATGTTTACAAGACTCGTTAGACGTGATGGCTTGCAGCCGAAAGCGGCTTGCCACTGCTGGCGCGCGCATGGTTGCGCGCGGGCGCGCGGCAATGGAGTCGCATGGTCAAAGCCGATGAGGGCATTATCAAATGGGCGTTTGTGGGTGACCTCTCCCTTGCCCGCTCTCTCAGCCCAGCGCGCGGGCATCGGACTTGGAGCGGTGCGTGGCTGCATGCACTTGACTGGTTGGCAGCCGAGGGGGGCGCCCCTGGCGCTTTTTTGGCGGCTTATGCGGCGGGGGTGCACAACACCCTGAACCAGGGCTCGGCGGCGATGGCGGGCCTGCGCCAGCAGTTGGGGGGTGGGAACTGCATGCGTGGGACCATGCACTGACCAACCGGGCTGCGCGGGCCGTCCAGCGTGGTGGCGCTTGCGCGGAATATGAGGCTTGCTTCGCCGCTGGTGATGCAGATGAAGTGCCTGAGGCCGGCTTTCCGCCGCGCATGCCTTACTACTTTCGCCACACGTCCCGATTCCGGAACCATCAACATGCGCGGGCTCTCATGCGCCTGCGCTGCTGCTCCCCCCCCTTTGCTGCGTCGCCGACTCTTCATTACAACACCCCCACCCATTGCCCCCACTGCGACGGCCTGGGCCGTGACGAAACGGCTGAACATGCTCTGCTTGACTGCCCCGCATACGCGGACCCGCGGGCCGAGCCGCGCTTTGCGCCCTTGTTTGCGAATCTACCCGCGCTTGCGCGCATGCACGCCTTTGCGCGCAGCACGGATCAGCACACGTTGGGGGCCTTCGTGCAGGCCTGCTTTAAACGGCGCACGGTAGCCACCTGAACCTCAGTCGCACAACATTGGTGCTTCACTGTACAATCCCAGGAGCCTGGATGGCTCCAGGAGCGGGCGACCGCGGGACGCTGTAACAATCCTGATCCTAATCCTTGCACTCCACGGAAACCGACCTGGCCAGGACGGTTTGGCGCATGACGCCGGCTGTGTCCGCCACATGGCGGCTCAATGAGACCGCATGCAAACAACCGCCCAACCTGCAGAGGACAAGCCCGTGAAATGAGTTGCAAGCCGGCGACACCGCGGGCACCACACTTGCTGGAGCGAAATGAGAGTGTGGAGCAAGCATCCCCCGCCCCCGTGCAACAGCACAAGGGATGATGGGAGCTGCATGAGGACACGCCCAAGAAGCCATGCCTGCAACGCAGCCAGGAACCCCCCACCCCCCAGCACAGCAGGCGCGCCCCAAGTATGGCATGGATCTGCGTGACAAATCGAGTTGCAGGCGTACAGACCCGCGCAACTACCCCTGCATGCGCCACCCAGACAAGGGTGCCTTTCTTGAATGGGCA